ATAAAATAAATAATACGAACATGGATAAAAAAATAAATTGCAACATTACGTAATTATTTGGGATTTATCTATGTTAATAGAGTCATTAAAATTAATTTTTATTAATATAATCGAAATGTATTTATTTATTTAGTTGTACCAAAAAGTATTAAATTATTAAACATTGTTTTAAACAGAAGGAAGTCCTTTAATAATAATAATAAAAAAAGGATATTTAATTATTTTTTGTATATAATTCTTATTAATTTTTTATTAACCTCGAGTTTAAGAGTTTTTGGTTCTCACACAAATGCATATTATCTTTGATTTGACATGCTACATTTTCAACTATTATTTCCTAGTTTAATTAATAATTGATCAGATATAGGTAATAAATCTTTATAAAAAATGCACCATTCACTATTATTATCGACACGTTTTATGCATTTATCTACTCCCACAATAAAAAGCTGTGATTTTATGGCGTTTTAATCACGGACTAAAGTTAGCAACAGTGGATTTCGGGCTGAAGTTTGCTTTTTATAAATTGGAAAACGCTCTGACAGATGTTAAAAGTTTAATAAATAAAATTGACTTTATTTATTATTTTATATATATATAAGACATAATGTGCATTTTCGAGTGAAATACTTTACTTTATCTACACAATTTTTTTATTAATAACCAAATTTATTATAACCTCACTTGCTCTCGATTTTAAAGATCATTATAGTCGTAATTTGACATCTGTTGGTCAACCTCACTTTTTCCCAATTGAAACCCAAATCACATTGAATATTTAAAATCGGCATAACCCCTGATAGCACACTTTATTCTAAGAATGTTTTTTAAACCTTCCAGTGAGAATATTTTTAGGATCATGATATATTTCTTCTAAAGAACATGCTTAAAAAAAATATAGCAATAATCCTAAGAATATTCTCACTGGCCTATAGGCAGGTTCTTAGAAGGTGTAAAGTTTAATTAACTTAAGTTGTAAAAATAAGTCTACTCTAAACATATGCTTAGAATTTTAAAAAAGTAATTGCTATAGAAAGTTCATTTAGGAATATTCCTGTTAAGCATATTTAGTTCAGTTACCTATATAATAGTAAAATATATCATAAACTACGTATAAAGGTATATACCTATACTTAAGTACCTAATTAGTAATTAGTATTTAATACTAAGTAAAAAACACAATCCAAAATATTTTTTATAGTTATTTGTCAAATTAAAACAATATTCGATAACAAAAATACTTTTACTATAGGTATTTTATTTTATGTTAAAAATAAATATTTATTTATTTGTATACCGATTTTTTATATCTGAATTAACATTTTTATGTATAATAATCCTAACTATCTCAACCAATCTAATCTGACTTATCCCACAAAATTTTCCAATTTTACTTTTTATAAAATAATGTCATACAACTTAAGGTTTAGAGGACAAGTTGTTTATTTAATATTTTTAAATAAATATATATATTAATATGTCGCAAAATTTTTTAAGGGGACGACAAATACATTTCACTGTCATATTATGACATTGAGGCGTATTTGTCGTCTCCTGAAAAATTTTACGAATGTAGAATACAACATATTAGAACGTGGGTATCTGAATTATTTGGAAATAATCACAAAAGCTTCCTAGAAGCTCCAGAAAAAAGAAAGAACATTCCAAAAACGTATTCTTAAAATGTTCTTAGGATGCTTTTTAGGAAGGTTTAAGAATTTAATTGCATCATTAAAAGGGTATCTATTGAATGTTTTAAAAGTCCCTAAGAACATTCTTAGCAATAAGGGAAGGTTCTAAAAATATTACATTATTCCGGGTCATAACTTTTTAGAAGATTCTTAAAATCAAATTTTGCTATCAGGGACAATGTGTATAATAAGTTTATAGTTCACGTTCTTAGGCGGGTCGGTTATAATGGTCGCCATTATAAACGAATTAAACAAAAAAAACCAAATATTATGCAATGGAGTAGAAAAAGTATCGTTTTATTTAAATCACACACATAAAATGTTTCTAAGGATCTTACAATAGGCAACTATAAATGCACCTAAAGCTACACGAAATTCAATTATTTCCTGTTGTCTCGATTTTGCATATAAATTATTTAAACACACAAAATATGGTCAATATAATTACGATTTGAATAATAATTCTCATAATTATTGGGATTGATTCGAAGCATAATTTTATAAATAGACATAAATTCAAGTTGGTGGATTTTTTTTTAACTCAATGTCGACACATTTGAATGAATTCTTTGTGACTTTCGTAAAAATTATGTTTGTTTTAAGTGTTTCCTTTTTGTTTTTGGCATTGGTGGCCAATTAAGTAAAATGTTAATTATTTTAAAGTACGGAACAATTAAGGGAAATAATTAAAAATAACATTTTAAGTTTGATAGTCATTTTTAGTCAAGGTCAATAGTTTAAAAAGTTTAGAAATGTCCCTTAAGGCCCTATTACAGTCTATTACATAATAAATCAATAAAAAAAATATTTTTTTCAGGTATCAAGTAATTATACAATAGAAAACGTAACTATTATTTTAGGTTTCTAGACTTTCGTTTTCTTTATTAAAAAAATTATTAAAACTTGATAATTTTCAAAATTAGCCAATTTTGCCCTCAAATCATTATGTTGAGGAAAAAATAAAAAACTGAAACTTTTAGGAAATGTAGTCCCCACCTTCATCTTTTCAGTCCAGTTAGTCTTGTTTTGTTATTTTTATTCCTTTAAAAGATATATTAATTTTTTTAATGCCCGTTTAGTAGCGATATTGTTAGTTTTATTTATAATTTAAAATTTAGACTACATTTCCTGAAAGTTTCAGATTTTTTATTTTTTCCTCAACATAATGATTTCCGAGGGCAAAATTGACTAATTTTAAGAATTATCAAGTATCAATAATTTTTAAATAAAGAATATTATAGTCTAGAAACTTAAAATAATAGTTACGTTTTCTATTGTATAAGTACTTGATACCTGAAAAAAAATAACTTTCTGGATTTAGTAGAATAGGCACAGGAGCCAGACAAAAATCACAAAAATTGGCAAATTATCACGAATCTTTAGTGGTTTACCATTCTTTTATGAGATTAACTAATTGGATAATAATAATTTATATCGAAAACATACTTACTGAACAGTAAAACAAAATTAAAATCATTTTAATATTTGTCACAGAAAAAAAGTTCTGGCCCACTATAAGAGAGTAAGAAATTGACACGATTTCAGATTTCTAAAGGGTGCCAATTAAAAGTAAAGAATCCAAAAATTAAAACGGCAACGGATTTTCATATTTGATACCTAAAAGATCATCCTCAATTTTTTTTAACAAAATAATTAATCAAGCAGCGCACCCCATTTGGTGTTTTTATTTGGAATGACTCATACATAATATACTATTTTATAAAAACAAGAAAATATGGTTATGAAATTAGCCTATAAACCCAACAAAAACAAAACATCGCAAATTTTAGCTTATTTATTTATCTTAAGAAAAAAATGGTAAAATCTCGTACACAAGGTTGCGTTACGGAACTTCTGTGGTTCACCACACAATGGTACTTCCTAATTTGCACTAGGCGATAAAGATCTCTTTTTATTATTATTATTAAGCTTAATTAAACATCAACGTCGCATGTAAAAGTAACATGACAACGCGTTGCAACGTTTAGTTTAATATTTCAAAATCTTTCAACACTATGAATTGTTTTTGGCATTTTTTAACCCCAGGCTTTTAAAAATAACAAAGAATTCCAATATGACTGTTCAAAGGTTTAATTTTAATTATTTTAACGATTTTTCTTAAAAAAATCCTTGCAATAAATTACGTTAACAACCGACTTCCTCGCCAATACCTCTCGGTGAACATAAAAATTTATTTCTTTATTTAAATTCGACTAATTATTGTAATTTATCGAATTAGTTAATTTATTTTTCAAGATAAAATCCCGACGTCCAAACGGTTGAAACAATGAAAATTATTGATATAATCCAATTAGGTCATGTTAATTGTATAATTAATTAGTAAAAACTCCACGCAATAAAAAAATATCTACTTTTAATTGCAATATAAAAATGTTGCCAGCAGATACAAGTAGTTAGTTATATCAGATTTGAATTGCAAATTTTTTTCATTTTTATTGTTTCAAATATTTATGGGCAACCATTTTCCATATGGGAATTTAATTTGTACAAACACAAATTATTATTTTGAGAAGTCCAATCAAAAATCAAAACAATTTTAAGTTAATTCAATTCTCTCTAAAAATGAATTAGTCAAAAAGGACTAATTGAATAGTTATTAGTGGCTGCTTTTTCACTTGTACCATGGTTAACCATGGAACACCATGGTATTCCAAAATTTAACAGACAATTCTTATGTAAAATTGTCCCCTGAATCCGAAAATGTCGTCAAAAGTTAAAAAAGTAAAACAGTTTTTGAGATATAGTCAATTTTCCATTTAATATGGAATTGACTATATCTCAAAAACTGCTCCACTTTCATAATTTTTGACGGTATTTTCGGATTTAGAGGGCAATTTTACATAAGAATTTGCTGTTTAATTTTGGGATACCATGGTATTCCAGCCACTAATAACTTTTTAATTAGTCATTTTTGACTAATTCATTTTTAGAGAGTAGAGTTATTAGTGGCTGCTTTTTCACTTATACCATGGTTATCCCCAACATTTAATAGCCAATTCGTATCTAAAATTGTGGAAGTAGAGCAATTTTTAAGATATAGTCAATTCCATAGTATATGGAAAAAATAAATTAGCAAATAAACACTTTTTTCTTGAACCACCAATTTAAAAATCAGACAAAATCTTGATGTAAACATTAAAATCGCCAAATTATTAGCATTGTTCGAAACCAACGAACTTCATAGGTAGTTGGTTATGCTAATAACTTGACCGTGGGGTCGCATCTCTTACTCCTATAACTTTTCCTACTTTGTGAATTAATTGGCAACATAAAATATAAATTAGCACTATAAAGTTCAGATGAATCAGTCTCAAGCGGATAATATTACACGCAAAACACGCGAAGATTAAAAAGAATTTGTTCGAGATATAAGTTTTTACTGTTATAATATACAATGACCAGGGGATTTTCTGTGATTTTTTTCGGTGTTTTGGTTTGGTTTTGTGAAAGGACTAAAGCTGCAGATAATCCCAATATTTTTCTTATAGTTGCTGACGATTTGGTATGGAAAATGTTTTTCGCAAATATTTTATTTTATGTAATTTTTTTAAGTGTAAAATCTTTATATTGTGCGATTTTAACCGGATTTGTTTTAAAGTGTAGATCTTAATAAACTGTATTTTTGGAGCAAAAAACGTCATATTTGTACAAAATAAAATGTCAGTTTTCAAGAGTAAATTTTTAAGAATTCATATTAGCGATTTTTTTAAACAAAATCTAAGCACGGCACTGGATCACCGCCCCTTAAAACGATCCTTTACTAGATTTTATTGAAAAATTTTAAGTAAAAAAATGAACAATAATAACTACAAAAAGTTATTCTATTATCCATGAAAAAAACATTGAAATAAATTTATTTAATTTAAATTAAACTTATATTAAAATTAAAATTTTATTTCAATGTTTAAAGAATTCTTTCATGGATAACTTGACAGAATAAGTTTTTGTAGTTTTATTATTATTATTGTGCATTTTTCTACTTAAAATTTTTCAATAAAATTTTGTATAGGGTCGTTTTGAGGGGTGGTGAATCCAGTGCCGTGCTTGGTTTTTGTTTAAAAAAATCGCTAGTATACTATATATGAATTCTTAAAAATTTACTATTAAAAACTGACATGTAAAAATATGGCGTTTTTTCCCCAAATAAATGGGTCACACTGTTTATATATGTATGTTGAAACTGGATTTTGATGTGTTTTTTGTTGAAAAAAATATAAAGAGATATTATTGTATTACCTGGAATTACCAACAATCCTAATTAGTTTAATAATACAAGGTTGTGTTATTTACAAGAATAAATAATAAATATAACCAAACAATTGTTAACAATAAAATTTAAATAATTTATATGTAATTTTCTTCTAAATACTTGTAATAAAAAATTGCAATTAATTTTTATAGTGTAATCTAAAACACTTCTGCATACATGTATGAATAATTATTATTATATTCTGTAAAAAAACCAATACAAAAATTTGACTACTTTCAGAACTAATCTAACCTCACTTTTTACTTTTAATAATAATTAAGATCAATATTAAAAAAAAATATATCAAAAAAAATAGAAATTTAGATTTTTTAATTTTTACACAAAAATTAAAAAACTGCTTATTTAAAATACAGCATTAACATTGTTTTTTCAATTGTATATTTTTAGATATAATATACTACAATATTTTGTTTTAATTTTAAAACTATAAAGTTTTATATTATTTATTCGACGTTTTGTTAATAATAATTATTTAGTCAAAAATCATTATTTGTTTTAAAGCAAATTAAAAAAATGCTGAAAAGCCGTATTCATTTTTTAAAAGTACACTCTAAAAATGAGTTAGTCAAAAATGACTAATTTAATAGTTTTAAGTGGCTGCTTTTTCACTTGTACCATGGTTAACCATGAAATACCATGGTATCCCAAAATTTAACAGAGAATTCTAATGTAAAATTGTCACTTGAATCCGAAAATGTCGTCAAAAGTTAAAAAAGTAGAACAGTTTTTGAGATATAGTCAATTTTCCATTTAAAATGGGATATCATGGTATTCCATGGTTAACCATGGTACAAGTGAAAAAGCAGCCACTAATAACTATTAAATTAGTAATTTTTGACTAATTCATTTTTAGAGAGTAGTTTATGTCCTATTTAGCGTGTAAATTTTTAATATCTGTATTTAAAAGGATGAGAAATAATTTTCAAAAAAGTTACATTTCGTCAATAATAACGATAATTTTGAATTTTTGGTTTCATTGTAGCAGTAGTATTATTAAATATTCCTTAAATAATAACTTAGTAATTATAATAATTATTTGTATAATTTTTTAACACTAACTGTCAGAAAAAACACCCGTCATGCATGTTAACCTTAGCTCGCTGCAGCTCCCTTGTTTTGTTTCCGTATCAACTGTTTTTAGAGGTGTACCTAATATTTCGACGCGCGGAATTGTGTTAGGCACTGATACAAACCAATTTATATTATTTTATAGGAACTGTAGTATTTTGTAACGTCCAAAAAGCCTTTAAAAGTAAAATTTCGAGTTTGGGAAATATTCGTTGCTCAATGTAGTTTTGAGCAGTTTTGTTCGGGCATTGAGGATAATATAAATATATATTTTGTAATACTTTGATTTATTGATTTTCTGTTTTTTTACGCTACAACAAGCCATACAAACAATCCTTACGTAACGCTACGGGTAATTCCGGTTCCCAAACAACAAAAATCATCGCAACCAAATGATATATACAAGCATTTGCTTGGCAATTCAACTGTGCATATAAAACAGGTTCTGTATTTTTTCCGCCCAATTTAATTTTTTTATGAATGTAGATGACAGAGCTAGATTACAGCAACCAAACCGCAAATTTGCCACCATTAATAAAATAACAAGTAAATTACGCTGCCGAGTGTTTAAGGTCATGATTTTAAAGATTTCAATTCACGAAATAACTGAAATTACAATGTTTGATGTAATTATTTAAGTTATTTCATTGACAAAAAATATAAAATACTGTATTAATTTTCTCATAATGGATAAACAAGTTAATATAAGCATGCCTAAAATATACATTTTCTGTGTTTTCCGTTTGAAAAACATTGCACAAAATGTGCTACGTTATCCAAGATAGTTGGATTGGTTTTCTAATTAGTTTGTTTAAGTCAATTTTATATAATTAGTTCTATAAGAGTTGAAAAAATATTTCAAAAATAAATGTTATTCTTTTGTATAATTTTTTAAATAATCCGAATAAATACAGTATAACTGTGAATTAAAATATAAATTTTACAATATTGGACAATTTGTTCGGGAGTGAAGCATCACACCACCTAAGATAACCAATGAAATGATTTCCCGATTGAAATAAGACGCCGGCCGGTCGCTCAACTGCAATCTGCATCATCAGTTTGTAGTTTTAGTTTTAGTTAGTGTTATTGAATATTATTTTTCCGAATAGGTGGGTAGGTATTTGCAAAATTGTTCAGGGACTGGGATAAATCAATAATTATGACCTGGTGATCAAATGATGATAAAACGTGTTTCTATGTTCCTACTGTGCTACATTATTGACCAGCTTACTATATAGTTTAGTTTGTAATTTTTGTTTATTTTATGTTTTCAGTTTATATTAACTTAATTCTATCCTTACAAAATTTTTGTGTTGGTCGCTGAATACATATTTAATCTATCGACATTTGTACTATTGTAAGTGGAGACGCACTTCATGTTGAATTATATCTCAATATTAGAATAATTTATACGAATTTTATTTTTCAGTTTGTAGTTTATGTTTTGTTATGTTTATTTTATGTTGTCAGTGTCAGTTTATATTAAGTTTAGGTACCTATTCTATTTTTCATATTTTTTGTATAAGTCGCTGAATACAAAGGTATATTAATTTAGTTTCATTTTCCTTTTACCACCCCCGCATCCCAAAAATTATTATACCAAATCCAACAAATTTTTGTGTTAGTTTAAAAAACCCATAAAATTTTATTTTCACAGGGGTGGAATGACGTTGGATTTCACGGGGGCAACCAAATACCAACGCCTAATATCGACGCCCTTGCTTATAACGGCATTATATTAAACAGTCACTATGTACAATCAACATGTACATCTTCAAGAAGTGCTCTATTTACTGGGAAATATTCTTTCAGATTAGGTAAGTAAATCCCTCAAGACTTTAATATTGCTTTTTTATAAAGTTATAAATGTCTTAAGAATGTCAGAGATGTCTTAAAGTGTGTCAAGATTAAAAAAAATTAAAAATAAAATATTTTAAACTAAAATTATTTATTATGAATGTGTTAATGTTTTTTAAACAATTATAAAAATTTTGCAACAATTTCATATATCTATATATGTATATATTTTATAATTGCCATTGCATGTCTAAGGTTTTTCTTACCATTATTTGTTTGTTGTTATTGTTTTTAATTTTATATGGAAAAATTTAAATATGTTTGTTACTGCTTCAAGAGCACTTAAATTAAAACACAATATTCAGGTTATACCTACAAAAATACGACCGTTCTGATTCTTGCAACATAATTGTCATATAATTGTCGTACAAACAAACAAAAATGTTTTCTAAATGTAAGAATACCTTTATTCTTAAAACAATTCACTTGATTTAAGTATAATTTGCTAAGGCTACGAATACATATACAGGGTGTCTCATAATATATGCGCATGACTTCAGGATGTGATAGCTCATCCAAAAAGATGAAAAAAGTCGCTATTAACTTACCCTCTAAAATGCACAATTTTCGAGATACAGGGTGTTGAGGAGAAAAACACCCGCTACCCCTTCAAAATCTCCACCAATTATGAGTAAAAAAATTTTTTTTCTGGCACAAAATATAGCTTATTATGAGTAGAAAATGCTTACAAAAGCTGTTTTTTCTACGATAAACGGTTCCGGAGATATTCGAAAAAAACGATTTTTTTTCTAAAATTTCAACACCCTGTATCTCGAAAATTGTGCATTTTAGAGGGTAAGTTAATAGCGACTTTTTTCATCTTTTTGGATGAGCTATCACATCCTGAAGTCCTGCGCATATATTATGAAACATATTTGTTATAAATTAAAAATATTTTATTTCTTAGCTTAAAATCAAGTACAGTTGAAACAAGATGATTGACCTAAAATTGTCAAGGCTAAAACCAACATTAAGCTAAATATTAATCTTTCTTCAAACAAGCAGATCTTATTCTTACCTTTAACTGTTCTATGTTAAGAATAACTGTTTCAAATATTGTGCATTCTTTTTTTAACTTTTGCTCGACATTAAAGGTTAGGATATAATGATTTTAAAAGGTAAAGAGTGTTATATCCTATCTATTTTTCTCTATCAGTCTTAGAAAAAGAGGTAGCATAATCCACTCTTTACCTTTTAAAATAAACATGGTCATTATATCCTAACATTTATTTAAAGTCGAGCAAAAGTTAAAAAAAGAATAGACAATATTTGAAACAAATATTGCTTAACTTACATAAAGATACCATATATTTAAATATTGTATCGCCAAGAATTATAATATTTGTATCTAAAAATACTTATTCTTAAATTAAGCTGGCATTTAAAATAATATGCTTTTTTCCGTGCACCTTGTACATTTTATTAAAATCCGTTAACTCTCATAAAAGCTACAAAGCTAAAAAAATTGCGGTGTTAATTTTGCCTGAATATTCTAAACGTGTTTTTGATTAGGTATGGCTATAATAAAGGTTGGTAAATCTGTCAAGGGTCGCTTAGAGGGAAATTGATTTTATTATTGAGGAGACGACACATATTTAAAAGTGATTAAGCGCTCTTAAAACCTTAACCGATATCTATAACGACCTAATATAATCTGTATGTTCTAAGAATGTCAACTTTGAGAATGTACCGTATATTTTTAGGGATGCAGGGCGATTCCATAAAAGCAGCGGAAAAGAGGGCATTACCTGAAGGAAAGTTGATGCCGCAATATTTTAAGGTAAGAGAAAAAAGCAACGTAAAAAATGGAGAGAGAGAAAATTCCTGAAAAGTTAAATTCGTACGAAATTTCAGATTAAATGTTTACCGAAGGCATTAAGTGTGTCTGCTCAGGACTTCTCTTTAAACTTTTCTTTAATTGTCGATTACAGATATTTTTTGGGAAAAGTTTTTTGCATCGTCATAATTTGGACTGGGAATGTATTTAGGTTTTTATTTGATATATTATGAGAGTTTTGAGTGAGGATTTCGCATCATGTTTCTTAATGAATGGTGGGATCTTTTCTTAGTTAAAGAACAAATTTGTATAAATAAAAGTTGTCCATATCCATGGATATTAGGGAGACTCCCTAAGGGAGTTTAAAAAAACTGTAGAAATGCTGATAAAACCTTTTGTTTTTTAGGATCTTGGTTACGAAACGCATTTGGTGGGAAAGTGGCACTTAGGCGCTTCTAAATGGAACGAAACGCCAGCGGCCCGCGGTTTTGACCACCATTTTGGATTCTTCAACGAATTTATCAGCTATTATGATTACTTATCCACCTGGAGGGTAAGTACTATAGTAGTATATATTAGACTGGGCCAAAAAAATTGACTATTTTTTTTAGTCATAATTTGATGTTTTACGTTAGAATTGTCAAAACATTGAAGTGAAAAAATTCCTTTTCACTTAGTTTTATATAAAATTAAATTCTCTACAAAAAAGGTCTGATTGAAAATTTTCGTCAGACGAGCCGTTTCCGAGTAATTGAGCTTAATAAATCGATGTGTTTTTTCGATTTGCCCTTTTTACTTTGAAATTTTGTAACTAATGAATCAATGAATATTTAAAAAAGCTCACGTTGGATTATTAAAGGAAATTTAATGTTCTACAAAAAAGGCCTCTTAACATTTTTGCCTAAATTTAATTCTTCAAAAGTTATTCACGAAGAAAAAAATTGAAATTTTAAGTTTTTCTTCGATTTTAATCGTGGCCCAGTCTAGTATATATACATTTTCTAAAAACAAGTTCTTTTTATTATTTATGTTTATAGATAAGGGTGGTCCAAAAAAGTTTTAAATATTTTGTCTCCTTCGGCAGTATTATTAACCAGTATCAGTAGGATTATTAACAAGTATTATTAACAACTCTCATGTTACATAATTTTTCGTTTAATTATAATTATTTAACATTTCTTTTAAAATAAAAATGCCGATTTCTCACAATTTTGTTTTTGGCACTTAAACCCTTTGGAAAGAACAAGCTTCATATTTTATTGGATTTTTATACATTGAAACAAGTGGGTATAAAACAAATAATGAAAACTAAAATATTGATAAACGTATTAAAAGTGCAAAATGCATTTTAGTTTAAAATTTTAATGGCTTTAATTTACATAGTAAGAATAAATATTTTAATTCAATTTGCCCAGGTAACAAAAAATCACATGAAAAGGTAAATAGATTAAAGAGTGTTATTAACAATTTTTTCTCCTCCCACCTGTAAAACGCCCTTTATCGTACATGTTTCCATGACACTAAGTGACCTTTTAAATACACATTGACAAGTTGTGGCTTTATGGCGCTTTAGTCACGGGCTGAAGTTAGAAACAGGTTTTTAGTCACGGGCTGAAGTTAGTTTTAAGTTAGTTGACAGTTGTCAAATGTCATACAATCGTTAAAATAAATTGCCTTTCTTGTAAAATAATACTAAATGTGAAAATTATTTTATTATCTCAATACAAAAATACAAAAGTATTAAATAGTTTCTCAACGCCAATATTTGAAAAGTTTATATGAACATTGTACTGACCTTTTAATTTCGCCGGCAGTAAACTATAACTTAAATTCGGGCACGGACTCCACTGTAAAGTCCTCATTTTCTTTACTTTCACCCATAATATAACAAGTGGTATGATTATCATCGATGATATTTTCGAATTGAAACCGAGCTGCAGATTTCACGAGTCCGCAGGACGAGTGAAATGTGCTGCTTCGGTTTTAATGAGTAAATATCATCGATAATTAATCATACCACGAGTTATATTTAGTGAGAAAATATAATGAATTTTAGGATTTAACGAATTTTTAGTTTGACATTTGAAATTAAAATGTGCTTTAAAATATAAAAAGACTTTAATAAACCTTATTTATTCAAACTTACCTTAATTTCATTATCGTTTACACCAACCCATCGATCTTTTAGAGTTTATAATTCATTATTTTATTGATATATATCAAAAACAGAATTTAAATGACAATAAATGTCAAATCAAAAAAACGTCAAAATTCATAGTAACGTGTAAACAAGATGATAAAAATTATTGCCGCTGTGATAAAATACGTCACTATGGAATACTGGCATTTTATTGGTTCTAATATTAATGAATTGTATTGTCACTGTGATAAACTGTCAATATTCAAGACATACATTTCGATTTATAACCTCTATAATCTGTTTTTATAAAATTTGACATTTGACGGTGACACACAGATTCCCTTATTGTTTCATAGATGGCGCTCTATACAAATTTTTGATTTAAATCATTTTAAGATAATAATATAAGTATTTGTCGTATAAAAAGTATAGTATGCACCTCGTTTATAAACTTTTCTATACACTCATTAATTTAAGAACTCGCTCGCAAGCTCGCTCGTGCCTAAATTAAATTCGTGTATAAAATGGCGTTTATCAAACTTGATACATAATATACTATTATTTGCAAAATGATGCAAAAGTTTATAATTATTTTAGTATTAAATGTCTATATATTTCATTGTAATATATTATTTTACTAATAACAACTTACTAAATAACATGTACTTTATTAGTAGTATTGTTTCATACTTTTGACAGTCACTCTACAATGCATTTTTTTAGTACAACGACAAAGACTTTACTGGATTTGACTTACGTAGAGATGGTGAACCAGCTTTTGACGAGGTGGGAAAATATTCCACTGACGTTTTTACAGATCACGCTGTAAAAACAATAGAAAACAACGATGTAAACAAGGCCTTATTCATGACAATTGCTTACAATGCCGCACATGCAGCTAACGAAGGAAAACCTCTGGAGGCTCCTCAGGAAACCATAAACAATTTTAAACATATCGCAGATTCTAATAGAAGAACGTATGCAGGTTAGTGATTGGATTCAGCGTAAATCAAAATATAAAAACCTAAATATTATATTCAAAAAGTGCCTTTAATTTAATTTATTTTTAATCCATACTGCCAGCTTTCAAACAAATTTGGTAACCATTTTGTTTGAAAGCTTGTTTCAAATCATGATTAATAGGGCCATTGAGACGTGTAATTCTTTGAAAATATAAATTTAACAACCCTCAACTCAAATAAAATAATTTAATGAAAAATGTTTCGTTACTTTTCGATGTTTGATGTATTAAGAGATAATGAGCTGTCAGAAAAAATAATGCATGATAATATCATAACATATTATGTTACATAAAGTATATAATTGTTGTCTCTAAGTTAATTTTTTTTATGGACTGCGGCAACGTTGCAAATTTAGGGGTTTGGTTGGTAAATACGGAACCAAAATTGCAATTAGTTTGGCTTTTGTGGCGCGAAGATGAATAAAATGAGTAAAAAAGTAGTTAAATGTACGGCCCGGTGTGGACAAAGTATTCCTAGCGGATAATAATCTTCCCTTTGAAAAAAATTTATATAAAAGAAATTAAAATTTTATGGGAACACACGTGAATGTTCTCCAATCATGGGAATAAAATGGTGAACTACTAGATTTTTACAAAAAACGTCGAACCTAACAGTAACAGTAACTATAGGAGTGCCACAGGGTTCAATTCTTGGCCCTGTGTTGTTTACTCTCTATATTAATGACCTAGAGTTTCATTTAAAAGATAACTACCCAACAACTTTTTATGCAGATGAAACATCATTACCTGTATCTCATAAAAAATAATAATATCGTTGAAAAATAATGCAATGACAACCTGCAAAGATTGTCCATATGGTTCAATAATAATTCTTTGTATTTAAATACTGAGAAAACCAATTTTATTAGGTTTCACAACCAGGGACATGGTAGAACAGATTATCTTGATTTTTATTTGGAAATAGATGAGCGAAACATAAGAAGAGAGACTAAAGTCATAATTGATGAAAAGTTAACCTGGAAAAGTCACTGTGACTTTTTAATAACAAAATTAAATTCGATTGGTTACCTTTTTAAAAATCTAAGGTCAATCTTAACACTTGAACAGTTATTGCTTATGTAACTGTTTTAGATTTGAAATTTTAACTATTTTTATACCCTATTGTCTACAGAAAAAAAATTAAGGTCTTCAGAAGAAGTACCATTTTTTTAATACTAAATCAAACTGACATAAGCTACCAACTTAATAAAAAACACGAGCCCAAATAAAAAAAAATGAACTGTAACATTTTGTTTAAATCCTTTTCAGCAATGATTTCTAAACTTGATGACGGTATTGGAGCTTTAGTAGAGGCACTGGACAAAAAAGGAATGTTACCGAATTCCGTAATAGTTTTCATTAGTGACAATGGAGCACCAACTGTTGGTTTAAGTAGAAATTGGGGTAGCAACTACCCACTGAGGGGTATTAAGGACACCCTATTTGAAGGAGGTACATAAAGGTAGAGAAAGAGTTCTAAATAAAGTAAAATAACTTAAATTTTTAAGGTGTTAGGGGTGCAGCTTTTATATGGAGTCCACTATTGGTCCAATCAGCAAGAGTTTCCACAGATTTAGTCCATATAACCGATTGGCTACCCACTTTATATTCAGCTGCAAACGGGGACATCGGAGCTGTAGATCCAGACCTGGATGGGATAGACCAATGGTCTAGCCTGGTAAAAAATAAAATATAAACAAAAATTGTCATGTTAGAAAATATTTTTCTAGGTGTACGACTTGCCTTCTCCCAGAAACGACATCCTAATAAACATCGACGAAAAAACAAGGAATGCTGCTCTTAGATTCTACAATTGGAAATTGATTGTGGGTAAGCCAATATTTCCGATAAAATAAAAAAATCAAAAGAAATAAACCTTGTATTTATTTTTCAATTGATTAAACCCATACAAAATTCTGTTTGCCAGTGAGAATTCACTCAAGTCAGGGGTGTGAGAAATACTGATAAACTAAAGTTTCTTGTATAAACATGTGAAAAAATAAACATGAAACGAGAAATCAATGATGTCAAATATAATCCGGACACCAAAAAAGTCTATAGGCACATCGTTTACATATGATTATTTCCCTCATTATAATATGAACCAATCAAAAGCCTTGAATTTTCGAATAAATTTCGTTTAAATAAGCGATTAAATCACTAGAACTATTTAATAGCGATTAAATTTTAGCCCCCATATTGGATTTTTGTTTACGATTTTATGGTGTTATTTACAAGTTTTAACAAACATTTTTTTAAAAACAATAAAAAATAAGTTATCTAGTTTACGAAATATCAATTATTACTTATTACATACCTTAAATTAATGGAATTTTCTTTAAAAAAATATTTATAAATTTTGACACATACGTCAGATTTTATGAATTGTCAAATAGTTTCCTTTAATTCGAGAAATAATCTAGACGTATATCACTCAACCTATAAATTTAATCTGTCAAACTATGCTCAGTAAGTTTTTTATTTGATTTTTCTTTTTGGAAAATAGTTTCATGCAAAATAATTAAAAATAAAACCCCTCGACCGCTACGCGGTCTCGTGATTTTATTAAATTATTTTGCATTCAACATTTCTCAAGAAAAACCAAACAAAAAACTACTGAGCCTAGTTTAACCGATTAAATTCATGGTTCTCGTGATATAATATATGAATATTTTTGTATATTCTTTATAGGTACAAGTCAAAATGGCACATACAACGAATATTACGGGGACACAGTACTGGACAACATCGAGGAGCCCTCTTACAACACTAGTGCGATATACGAAAGCCCGGCTGGCCGTGCGATAAGAAAAGTAAATTACACCCCTCTCACAGAACCAGAATACGAAGGCTTAAGGGCAACGTCGACCCTTAAATGTTTACCACCAAAGGCCAAGAAAAATCCCTGCGACCCTGCAAGTAAGAATTTACAACAAAAGTTATATTTTTAATAAAAACCAGAAACTTTATATGAGAATAACATTTACGCAACGAAATTTGCATATTTTAATTACGAACTCATTAAATCATAAAACACTTGGAAGTTTGATGAAATCAAATAAAGTCATTTTATATAACATAGTTTGCAAGTTTTGTAATACTAATAAATTATTTTATATGCATGTAAATTTTAGGTGGAGCAGTTTGTCTTTACGATATACCTAGTGATGCTTGCGAAGAAAACGATTTGGCAAAATATTTCCCTAGTGTTGTCAGAAGGATGAAACGAGCTCTTGTCGATTACAGACAAGGTTTAGTCCCACAAGCAGATCAAGAAATCGATATAGAAAATGCGGATCCCAAACTTTTTAAGTACACGTGGAACCCATGGGTCGATTGTTCTGATTCCACATGCCCATCACCCAATATTGGATGAAATATTAATTTAACAATATTATTTATATATTATATTACTAAAATAAACACCATAACTACTATTTACTGTCTTTTAATGCGCATTTAAAAACTAATTTAGAAAAAATAGTATATTAATATTTTAGTCACGAATTTAATTTAGGCACGAGTGAGCTTGCGAGCGAGTGCTTAATTAAATGAGTGCCTAGAAAAGTTTATAAACGAATTGCATACTATAGGTACTTTTTCTACGACAAATACTTAATATTATCTCAAAAATTATTGAAATTAAATATTTGTATAAAGCGACATCTATAAGAAAAAACATTGCCCGTTATTATTTTAATTAAACTTAACAATTATTGATACTTTAAATATTAAAAAAACTTTAAAATATGATTATGTTAAGAAAATATTTTATACTTTGATTTTTTTATTACTATAAAAAATATTATATCATAGTATTAAAAATTCTTACATGCATTTCCCATGGGACAGCCCGTGACTAAAGCGTCATAAAGTCGCAACGTGTATTTAAAAGGTCATTTGGTGTTTTAGATGTGAGAGTAGAAAACATAGTTTTTATGCATTTCATATATGAAAAAGAGTTTTACTGAGTAATAAAACTTTTTTTAAACCAAATATTTTCATGACATAAATGTGTTTATGTTAACAATATTCTTTATGGCGTCGCGACGCGTAATTAAGATTTACAAAAAGACGAACGCTTTTCTTAGCCACCTCGAAAAATTCATCAATCTTGAAACAAACGCTTAGGGCAACAATAAAAGAAAATCGATATGTAGTGTATTAATACGCTGAAAATTAATAAGATTTTTTTAAGTAAGTTTTCGGTCGGGAAAATCGATGCAATAAATGAATTGGCATTAGGTATTCCTAAAGTGCATTGAGATGTTTTCTATGAGATAAATCAATGTTTATATTTGTCTATAGTTAGTTAGCGAAATAAATGCATGGTTCATTTATTTGAAGTTTTTTAAGAAAAAGTTTGCCAAATTTTATCGCAAAATAAATAATGCTTTAATGGTTTATAATATAAATATTTATCTAGGTTGTTAAAAATTAAACCATTTTTATTGTTATACAGGGTGGTTCAAAAGGAACCCTTAAAATTTGAGAAACAATAAAAAACGTTAAAATATTACTTATCTCGAAAACTCAACAGTTTCAGAAATAAAGTTGCATAAATTAAAATAAAATAATTTTTCCCAAATAAAATAACATATTTTTTTAAATTTTGGCGGGTATTTTTTTAATTGTTTTGGGTACTATGAATAAAATTATATAATAATTAAATGTACGACAATGATCTAAAAAAAAGTTTTTGAAAAAAAGTCCTTGAAATTTGTACACAGTAAAATTGCAATTGCAATTCACTGAAATTAAATTTTGTCCTAATAATAAAAAAACAATAATTACCAAATTTACCAACGGCATATGACGTCAGCGTTAAGGTCTATTCATACGTGCACAATCTAACGCTCGTGTATTGTTGACTGTTTCAAAAAAAACCATTTAAATAACATGGGAAATTTTTTTAAACTTTGCAATTTTGCAACGAGCTACTTCATAAGTAAGACAAAATTACCCCTTATAGGAAATTGAATGCTCTACAAAAAAGGTTTGATTGACATTTTGCGTAAGTCAAGCCGTTTCAAAGATATCGAGCCTCAAACTTCAGACTGTTTAAAATTATGCTTTTTTTTCTTAAATACAAAAAAAAACAATTTATATGTATTAAAAACCCAAAATTATTAACTTGAGAATAAATATAAGCATATATTTAATGGAATGGAGATCCAAAATTATTAATAATTTGACAAATGATATTTTTTATTGATTTTAGCGAAAAATATTTACTTACCTACAAAATATGGTAGAAGTTTATAATAAATTTATTTATATTATGTATTAATAATATATTTACTGTTTATATAGTCATATATGGGTGATTCTACAAAAGTTGGACAACTTGATGTCATCAGTTAATAGAGTAGGTATTTTAATATTTTTTGTAAATATTTTAGTATATTACAAAAGATACAGGTTTTTTAACTTGTCCACCCAATTTTAATGTATTTTTTCAAAAGCACGTTTGTAGAAAAATGTAATAAATATTCAAAACATCAGTACCTTGGCATGTCACAACTTCTGAATCAAATATTTGAGTGATTTTATTTTAAAATATAGTCAATTTATCTTAAATTTTTCAATTTTACTACAAACTATAAAACATTAAATAATGTATTTTTCATATTTTATTATAGATTCGAATACAAGCAATTTTTAAAAAATTGATAATCTTTGTACTCACTTTTATCCGTCAGTTCTGTGTCCAATTTTAAAATTCTAAATTCCTGAGAAATATTGAACTTTAAACGTCAAGTCCTCGTTTTAACTTAAGTGTTGGGAAAAAATTACTTACAGAACCCGCCCTTTGCACGACAGTCATTTTGAAAACAATGCAAGCGGCGAAGTTGTGGTGAATACACGTATAGTTTCAGTCAAAATTTCAGTACTGTGGTGAGTAGTTATTTTCTTACGTATAAATATTTCATTGTAATTTATATAAGGCTATATGTGATTTGTTGATAAGTAGAATCCACTAATAAAAAATATCAGTAAAATACTTAATTCCGAATTATAATCTCAAATTTGTATCCCATTCATCAGTAACGTGTCGTCAGTTCCATGTTCAATGTTTCGGTTATCTTTTTTTTAGCAAACTTCATTTTAAATTCTGCTTGCGCAGAACTTGTTTATTTAATGTCATTATAAACTCATATAAATTCGGTGTGGGTCCCATATCTAATAATTGAGATATCGGTATACCCAAAATCTACCAGCCGCCACTGATGTGTGGTATTATTTGATTTTAAGATATTTAATGTATAATATGCTCAAAGTTGCAATAAATCTTATATTTTCCAATAAATTATGTATTTAATTAATACCCTGGTATACTTGTCACTTCCTTTGCATTCAAATTTAGAAAACACAGATATTTCAGAAACTGTTTGAAAAAGTGACTGGCCCGGTCTGGAACAGTATATTTATTATATTATCTATGTTCTCATAACAAAATACTGTTTAATTTCTCCGAAAACTATATAAACAAAATGAGGTCAAAAGTTTCCCAACTTTTGTAGAATCACCCATATAGTAACAGTTGAGAAAATTAATTTTAACGTTTTTTATTGATAATTTTTTATTCTAAAATATGTTATAAAGAACACAAAAATTTAATTATAAACCTTTATAAAATTATAGGTGATTCTTTAAAACATTGCCATATCCCGGAGCATCCGCCATTTTTGCAACTTTTAACTATATTTAATATTGAGTTATTTAAACCTTAATACCGTCAATTACCCTTAAATAAAAATTTTCTATATTAAAAATTAGTAAAGGCGCAATATGGAAATTTAAATAGCGCTGATGTCTGAAATTTGAAGGGCTCTTGATGATCATCAGTTCATTCTCATCGCCTGCTTTTAAAAGTCGCTTCAACTCAAGCATAGCCTAGACCTAAATATGCCCAATAATAAGAAAAAATACCGTAATACAAAAAATTAACTTTTCCATGCAATTATTTTTATCTTCGGCAATAGCCAGTTTTAATTCTTTAATTAAATTTGTAACTAGGAGAATATTGGTAATTTCCTAATTTTACAAATGGCATGGAGTTGTTTTTATTTAATTATTTTAAGTTCGTGATTATACCTTTTTTAATTAAAATAAGATGCTAAAATTTAATTAGCTTTGTTATGCAACACTTAAGTTAAAATTTACTTAAGAAGTTGTTTACTTATTTAATTTTTAATAAAACTGCATTTTATTTACTGTTTTACACTGTTTTTATTTATCTAATCCTAATTGAGGTATAAAAAAATGGTATTAAGTTATAAATAATAATTATTATTTAGATATAAAAAGACTATTTTTACATAGTTTAGCATTATTTATTGACAATTTTTTTTTACCTTAAATGAGGTATTTTTATTAAAAATAGTAAAATATTCCTTTAAATTAAAGGTTTTAATGCTGGCAGGTAAAAAGTGACCATGGTACGCAATTGATAATTATCACCGAATGAAATAATGTATAAAACTTAAACCAAAGGAAACTTAAATATAAGTTAAAAAATCGTGGGTACTTAAAAAAATCAGATTTAATTTAATAAGATAATTATAACCAAAAAAGTGATATTTTTATAGAAAAATTATTGCAGAATCGTATAAGAAGAAAAATCGAACAAAATTGATTTTTTTTCATTACAGCGCCATCTATTTCAATTATGAAAAAATGATTTAGACAAAATGTACCTATTTTTAGCCGAATGATCTGAATCTGTAATAAAAAATAGGGTGTTCCATTGGAAATTTTAAAGTTACCCCCTGTTCCCCCTATAAGGAGAAGATTATGAGGAACAATTTTAGTACTGATTGATTTCCCCCCTCGAATCATTTAATTTTTATTTTAAACATTTTTTCGTAAAATGCATACTAACTGAGATATTTCAAATTTTTTTTTTTAAAGTATATTGAAAAAATGGTTTGGGGTGACAAAAAATTATTGTGAAAGTTTGAGTCCATAATATTAATATTAAGAGGTCTATCATCGCAATTTTAATTTTTTTTTCCTTAGCAAGTTTTTGTCTCGAACTCCCAAACCATTGAGTTTAACAAAATTGACTCAGAAATATTTTTTTAAGAAGATGCTCTACATAAAAGGTTAAAATAAAATTTTCCGTCAGATCAACCGATTCCTTAAAATCATGCCTTAAAAATTGGTATAGTTTTATATTTTGATCTTTTAACTTTGGAATTTTGTAATTCATGTAAAAATCAGTACCCTTAAAAAAAACGATAAATATTCTTATGGGAAATCAAATGCTTTAAAAAAAAGCCTCTTAACATTTTTGGCTAAATTCACTCAATCAAAAGTTATTCAAGGTTAAAGATGAAATTTTTGTTTTTTCCTCTGTAGATTTATTTTTTTATGGATGATAATTTGATTTTTTTATTTATAAATGTGTATTATTTAACTAATTAACAAGTTC